GTTGCGAGCACCACAAGTGGAACGGCCGATTGGTATCGGCCTTCCCCCCCGCCCCCAATGGCATAGCTCACAGCCACCACAGAGTTAAGGATTGGTAACCGCCGAGGAGGTGGGGGTTGTTTTGCCAGTCAAAGATCCCCGGTATAGCCTTAAGACTGTTGGGGCAAGTGCTGGGTGGGTCGCCAAAACCACACCCGACCACCTTTGTCTCCCCGGTGGTGATGTATACACACCGCACCAGGTACTCATTTGAGGCCCGAGTCAACCTACAGATGAGACACACACACTCAAAGACCTAGGGGAGACCTAGGAGCGGTTCAGATAATTGTCACCGGTGTTGGCCGTGAGCGGGAATCGAACTCAGGTCGCCGGGTTTGTAGCGCAGCGCGCTAACCACTACCCGATCACTCCCAAGTCAGATACACACAAACACACCCAGACTCTCAAACTAATATACACTCACACAGAGATACTGGGACACAGAGACACTGGGACACAGAGACAGACACTCACCCCCCACGTAGACCACAGTCCCGTAGCACATTCTGTCTTCCTTGAAGCACAGCAGATTGTGTCCGCTTGGAGGAGACAAAGCCAGTCCAGACAGGGACACGGACAAAGTACCAGGACGCGTGGACACCGAGAGTTCCGAATTAATTTGTTTGCTCCCCAACTTCCAGTGCAGAGACACGGGGTCGGCGGGCACACGGAGGAGACACGTAGCATTGACGGGGACGCCCAGAGGAGCCACGATGTCTTGGGGTTCCACATCACAATCTGAACCTGATGGCACACAGGGAGAGAGAAGGAGGGGAGAGAGGATGGGGAGGGGGACAGGGTGAGGGGTGAGGGAGATGGTGGGGAGAGATGATCCAAGAAGAGAGAAATGAGCAGACAGAAAAAAAAGAGAGGGAAAGAAGGGAGAGAGAGAAAAAGAGATGTGAGATAGAGCACAGAGGGAGAGCACAGAGAGAGGGTACACAGGAAGACAAAGAGTGGGTGTACACAGGGTAAGTGTTATGCAGTAGAACCACGCGGAGACAATGAATACTATAAGGGCTGTTGTTTATTAAATCACTGTGACAGTCGACATCCTACGCTCACAACAGTGTAGGTGCACTCGATCTCGGTCCTGTACCCCGGACACTGAATACTATTTGGGTCCTACCCTCGGCTACCCCTTGGGCTCATTTACCTCACTCGTCTGCCCATTCGGGAGTTCAGCCAACACCGCTCCGCGACGAGGAGAGAGAGACTCTCTTCCAGCCGACCCTGACTGAATACTACGGGACCCTACCCTCGGCTATTCCCTTGGCTCTCCCACTCGTCTGCCCGGAGTGGAGGTTCAGCCAACACCGCTCCGCGACGAGGAGGGAGAGACCCCCAGCAGCCGATCTTTACCCTGGCTCCCCACGACAACTATGCCTTCGTCACGGGGTCCCCCTTAAGAACCCCTTGGGTGGCTCCTCCCCCCAGCTCGGACTCGCCTTTGTTCCCGAAGATACCCCTTGCACCACCCGTGACGTTACGTCATCCTTGACTGTCAACCCGCTCGCTCCCTCATTGGTTACTCACAATACTCCTCTACACAAGTATGGTGTGGGGGTATGTGGCAGCATGATGCGACGCATGGGGGCCCAGTCGGCCACAAGGGGGCCCCAAAAAAGAATGTTAAGATATTTTATAAAAAATATATTCTAATAATTAACCATAAATGCCAAAAAACAATGTTATAGAGGAAAAAATAATATTTCCATAATCCGAATTTTTCGTATGTTGGAAACTGAACAATGTTCCCCAAAAATCAAGATAAAGTCCCATATCCGGAAAGAGTTGTGCCTCCCCTACCCGATTACTCGTTCGTTTGGTCTTTTTTATATCGCTACCCGTATCCTATCGCTGTACATATGCCCTGCACTTCCTACGATTCTTTCATTTAATCGAATATCTACCCTAACACTATCCATTATTAAACTAATGGAACATATACTGTATCCAATTGTCTATGAATACCACGAAACATTTGTATTTTAATTCTTAACAGAAAGCAGTCACTTCCAAATGTTTGTTTACCGTGCATTAGGCTAGGCCTAGACTTCTCCGATCACTGTTGGCTGAAACCATAAGCAATCGTGTAATTGTGTTAAATAAGGTACAGATGTAGAGGTGTTACGGGAGGGCGAACAAACACACCAGGGGTGGTTATGCCCGCACGCAGAAGGATGCTTACTACTTCTGCTTACGTAACTAACGCACACATTTCCCCATAATGATATTTTTGTAACATGATTCATGAGCAATTCCGTAAAGTCGGATTTCCGTAAGTCGGGTCTTCTGCAACCCGGAGACTTATTGTAGTAGCGCTACTGCTAGTGTTTTGTTACTGAACAGCAGGATTTAAATTGACATGCGCATGAAAGCAAGAGGCATGAAAAAAATGTGTGATTATTGTTACCTTTAAATGTTGTTTTAATTAACAGTCACTGTCAGACTGTCTTCCTCTAAACACAATACACGGTGCAACTAAAATAATACTTACAGTACAGTTATAGCCTACAAATAATTTTTCTTTTACGATGTAAAGCTTTCGTGACTGCAGGGATTCATCTTCTTGGTTCTTTCGGTAAAGTCACGTAGAAGGGAAGTAATAAAATAATAAAAATAAAACATAATAAAACAATTCTCACGACGTTTCGACCACAACGCAAGCAGCCGTCCTCAGGTGAAAACCAGGTCTGTCGAGGCGACAGCGTCTGAATGAAACAGCACACGTGCTTGGAGCATATATATAGGCTGGGTTGGAAGGGGGGGAAAGTGCGCCTTGACAAAAGAATATGCATATCAAGAGGAATTTAGCATATTTATGGGAAAATGCAGGTATGTGATTAGTACTACTTATGCCCGTGCATTATGCAGGATTAGCAGCATCAAAGGGAGGGGATGTGGGAAATGCAGGTATGTGAATAGTACTACTTATGCCCGTGCTTTATGCAGGATTAGCAGCATCAAAGGGAGGGGATAGCGGTAGCATTAATAAAGGGAATGAGTGTTAATAGTATGTAGCTGCAGTAACTAAAACCACCACGTAAACAACTAAAGTATAAACTACATAGTATCATCAGTATACTAAATATACTCTACAATAAGCTGAGTTACTAACAGTAAGTAATAATACATTACAATTCTACGTCGTAAAAAATATATAATATGCTTCCATCTAAACTTTATTCTCTTACATCACACGAGTATATTAGTATCTTTCACACGACGGTCAATGGTACAGTGTATAATAACAAATAGTATAACATTTATATGCTTAATACAATGTACAAAGTAATATATAGTATCATAATTGTATAGTCAATATACAGCAGTGTGATATACATTAGGGTGGGTAGAATAATACATAGTGTAATATTACAATGTATAAGGCTTAGGGTGGTTTATAGCAATACAGTATATAATTTAATGTTGGGGTTGTCTATGGCAGTATATAGTACGGTGTAGACTCGTGTGATGTAAGAGAATAAAGTTTAGATGGAAGCATATTATATATTTTTTACGACGTAGAATTGTAATGTATTACTTACTGTTAGTAACTCAGCTTATTGTAGAGTATATATAGTATACTGATGATACTATGTAGTTTATACTTTAGTTGTTTACGTGGTGGTTTTAGTTACTGCAGCTACATACTATTAACACTCCTTTCCCTTTATTAATGCTACCCCTATCCCCTCCCTTTGATGCTGCTAATCCTGCATAATGCACGGGCATAAGTAGTACTAATCACATACCTGCATTTCCCATAAATATGCAAAATTCCTCTTGATATGCATATTCTTTTGTCAAGGCGCCCTTTTCCCCCCTTCCAAACCAGCTTATATATGCTCCAAGCACGTGTGCTGTTTCATTCAGACGCTGTCGCCTCGACAGACCTGGTTTTCACCTGAGGACGGCTGCTTGCATTGTGACCGAAACGTCGTGAGAATTGTTTTATTTTTATTATTTTATTACTTCCCTTCTACGTGACTTTACCGAAAGAACCAAGAAGAAAAATAATGTTTCTATACAGAGTTAAAACCATCCGTAGCTATTGCAGTAAAAGTGAGTCGGGCGAGAGGAGGGGGGCCCACAGTCGGATCCTACACCCAGACCCCCGTTGGCATCGGGAGTTGCGCCCCTGGGTGTACACTGGGGTGTGTGAGAGTACAGAGGAAGGAGCAGACCAATGGTTAACCTTTACTTACTGCAGACTTGCAACCCCTTTAATTCTCAATCGTAAAAAAGGAAAATATGAATACATAGGGTTAAATAAAACAAAGTAGTTGTACTTACGTGCCCGTGCTTAATTTGTTTCCATGATTTACCTCCTAAAAAAATCCGATATGTCTCGCACCCCCAGAAAGGGCATCTCGGATCCCCAGGGGGTGCGAGATGCCCCCCAGGTTAAGAACTCCTGGAGTCGAGACAGTGGAGTGAGCGGCTCAATGAGTCGTGTGGGTGGGGGGCAGCAGTGCCTCTGTGTGACTGCGTGCTGAGTAAACGCCTGAGAGGTGGGCGAGTGCGTGTTCGAATGGGTGAGTGGTAAGAGGTGAGTAGACAGGTGTTTAGTGAGTGATGGGTGGGTGCGTGGATGTGTGAGCAGTGAGTGCCAATACCTTGACAATTTGTCTCCATCAGTAAAATAGCGACCACAATTAATATCCACGCGTGATGCATTTTGGGCGGCTGTAGATGGACGTCATGTGACCATTATAACCTGTAGGGTGAAAGAGAGCGAGTTAGCGAGTAGCCGAGTGAATTAGTGGGTGAGAGGTGATGAGAGTGGGTGAGTGATGAGTAGGTGAGTGAGTGGGTATCTAAGGTGAGTGTGCAAGTGAGTTGGAGTGATTAGATGCGCGTGTGAGCGGGTGAGTGGGAGTGAGTTGGTGGGCGAGTGACTGAATATTGAGTGGCTGAGTGAATAACCTCAAGAGATGTTGAACCTTAATGGGGGGGGAAGGAGGGGGGTTAATTCGCGGATGTGAGAGCACAGGAAAAGGGATCCGTTTTCCCAGAATTATGATTCCGGGATTTGGGGTGAATCATTGAGGCGTATAGAACCAGACTAAGGCTCCTATTAGGATCAGTGTAAATAACGGAGGCTCAGAGAGCCAGACCGAGGCTGCTCTCGGGTCCATTGTTATTTACCGGGTTGTAGGCTCGTGGGATGAAGGCTGGGATCAATGTCTCCTCGTGTCTGCCTCCGTCTCCTTTACCGTCTCCCCGAGCCTCTCTTCCTCCGTCTCCGCGAACCTCCGTTGTCTTTAATTCCCGTAAAGGGCGGAAACTTCCCGCTATTGAGATTGGCGAATGTAGAAATGGGTGGCGTGGACGTGATAACGTCGCCTCGGCGAAGGGTCCAATCGTCTGCTGCAATTTTAGCCGCCGACCTCATTACGTTACAAAATTTACAGGACAGCGTGATGACGTCACCGCGCACGTACGCCGGTGTAAGCATTCGTACGCGCTGACGTCATTTCGTCATGATTTTACGTGATGTCATTAACGCGATGACATCATCAGCTACAATCCCCAATTGGACAGTTTTGTGACGTCATCACGTTAACGCCGCTAATTCGAGAATTGTGATTACTTTTTGTCATTCATTTTAAAGATATATCTTAAATCAGCTATGAACAAGGGCAATTTCTCAATGCGTCGCTTATTATATTTAAGCCCACGGTGTTATTTAGAAATGTGTATTTGTCTGTGCACGACTGCCGACGCAACATTACTCAATAACGCGATTATATATGATATAATATGTACACCAGATACATAACGTCGTAGAATTATACCGTGCGCGCTGACGTAATCGTGTGATCACAGCGTAATGCCTGTTTATTCAAGGAAAACGACACTTTCGAGTTAATTAAATTAGCATTACTCAGGCACTGCCACGAGCTCTGCGACCACCTCTGGCCACACGCCTCAAGGACCCCAACCAACCGCCAGCCCGTGCGTATCAACGTGGGTAACATTTTAAAAAAATGTATTCTTATATAAAGTTAAACCGATAAATTGAACTATTTACTTTAACTCCTTGCCCCGCCGAAAATGTTCTAATTAGTTCATGTGTGCCGTATCCGTAGTTGTTGCTGTACTGTAGATTATTAGAGTAGGCCGCGCGTGAAGCCGCGGTGTCGACTAGAGTCACTGCGGGATTTGCAGATCGGATCCTGTAGAGGGGAGGCAGGGTGAGGGGGGTCGGGGTGAAATTTATATTTATTTGCATTCTTTGGGTCTTTAGGGAAAGTCACGTAGACAGAAAAAATAATAACAATAAAATACTAAAAATAAAGTGAATGAAAAATAATAAGAAATATCACGATTCGATCGCACACAATAGTCAACTTTTTTCCTCCTGATGACGATTGTTGCGATCGAAACGTCCTTATATTTTTTATATCTACGTGACTTTACCGAAAGACCCAAAGAATATGAATTCCTGCAGTCACGAAAGCTTTAAGTCAATGTTTATTTGCTCTGGTGGTGGTGGTGGTAGCACGATGCTGATGATCCGTGGTGGCTCCAGTTCAATAGCCTCGCAGAGAAGATTGTCTTGAGCTCAACGAGGTCGCTCGATTCAATCTGCTGGCGCGGCAGCAAATTGAATCGCGCCTTACGGAGCCAACCGCGCGAATCGATTGTGCGGGAAGGGCAACAAACTAAACCAAGGCCGTAATTATATACATTTAAATATGCTCAAAATGTCCCCCCCAATATATTGCTATAAAAAGTAATCATAATTGCTATGCTATGTAAATAAAAACAACGATTTGCTCAACCTTGGCCACAATATCTGGACTTCTCTTCATATAAATCAATGCATAGATTTCTGTTTATATGATTGTGGTTATGGTTGTACTTTATTAATCCCTAATCTCAAACATTACATACAATGAAACAAGAAATGGTAAAAAAGTAAAAACAGCAATATAATACGATACACTATTAGACAATATTGTAAAAAATAAATAAAAAGTCCATCCCATGTGTTAGTGAATTTTAAAATATTTTAGGCAGGAAATGGCAGGAAATTAGTTTTCAAATTTAGATATTTTTCTGGGTTGGGACCCCCAGACCCCCTGGAAGATTTGGTCCCCCCCCCCAATGTTGACTCCATGGCTACGGCCTTGAACTAAACACAACACGCATCATGCCAGTACCAAAATATGATAATAGGTTTTCCCCTTTTTTCTGCAACATAACAAGTGTTAAGATGTTAAAACACCAAACTGAAACTTTATACAAGGAATCATGGCTGCATTATCCACGATACTTGTGGTCAGCATGCAAACAGAAAACGTACGATAATATATGCATTTTCTTTTAAACTGATTGGTCCTCACCAGAGACAGCTTTCTTTTGAGCCTAGTCTCAAAACGGTGTGAGACCAGAGCAAGCCAAAAGGTGTCTTTTGGCATCCTCTGGTCTAGGCTCAAATGAAAGCTGTCTCTGGTGTGGACCAATCAATTTAAAAGACGATGCATATATTATCAGAGTACTTTTTTGTTTGCAGACATGATTCATTGTAAAATGTTTGAGTTTGGTGTTTTAACATCTTGTTTTGTTGCCAGAAAAAAAGGGGAAAACCTATTCTCAGACAACACGCAGTTTGTGTTTATTCTGCACTGTGATGGATTTACGGGTCGCGCGCGGTGGAGTAAAGCGTGGGTACGCCTACTTCCAGAGCTCCCTGCAGTAGAAGCTGTTCCACTGACAGTGGTTTTAGCGAGCGATAGCAGAGTTGAACGTTTACCCCTAACTGAGAGACGAGGGCACAATCTATGTTGCTACGTGGTTTTTGTACGTTCGTGCTGTAACAGGATAAAATTAATCTGTGACAATAAATTATACTTTATCTTAATACTTTACGAAGCCAATAAGCGTCAAGGGGCTGCCCAATATGGGATTTTTCGATCCACAAATCATCTCTTTAGATCCATAAATTATGTGACACGATTGACTAACGATTTAAAAATGTGTATTCAAAATATCCAAGCTTGTATTTTGACTTAACTTTCGTAACTGTAGGAATTCATAATTTTGGTTCTTTCGGTAAAGTCACGTAGATAGAAAATAAAAGATTTTTTTTTAATATAAAATTAAATACAATAAAAAATAATTAATTGAAAATAATGAAAGCAAAAAACCCACGACATTTTGTTCGCAACGCAAGTGGTCTTCATCAGGTGGTAGATGAGACCGCTTGTGTTGCGATCGAAACGTCGTGGGTTTTTTTGCTTTTATTGTTTAAATTTAATTTTTGTATTTTATTTTCTATCTACGTGACTTTACGGAAAGAACCAAGAATATGAATCCAAGCTTGTGTTCGAGCATGGATCAAGCATGGATAAAACATGGTATTGTATATGGGCATTAATCATTAACATAACATTCATTATTGTTACAGCACGAACCAAATCTGTTCGGTTCACTAAATGGTTACCGGTTCCCGACTTTCGGAACCTGTAATATGAAAACAGTAACCGGTTTAGCGGTTGTCGTTTTAACAACCCTCACTCAGGCATCGGCAGACAGAGACTGCCACGTACGGGGAGCGACACTGGTGATGAAGGTCATGTACGCCTCATTTACTCCGTTTGTTGAGCCACCTGGCCAGGGTTGGGCGATACCGAGCCCACTACTTTTAACTCAGGCAACTGGAGAGCACAGGCTAAGCGTTACTAACCTAATACAGTGATACCTCGGTTCACGAACGCTTCTGTTCACGAACAACTCGGTTCACGAACAGAAAAGTTCATAAAAATATGCTCCGGTTCACGAACTCCGCTTCGGTTCACGAACAGGAGCCGCGGCCATTTTAATGCTATTTCCAGGCTGTCACATGGTCGTGACTTCCTGTAGGAAGATCGTGGAGAGAAGAAGAGACACAGAAAGAAGTACTGTGAGTACTGTGAAGACACTTTCAGTGACTTTTTGCTTTTTGGTGTGCTTTTTAGCACATACAGTACTGTACTACTGTACTGTACAATACTGTACTTACTGTATTGTACAGTTCACCCGTTTGAGTGCTTACTGAAGTCATCTCAAGCAAGGTGTTAGTGTTCTCTCTTTATACATTACTATACTGTACAGTACTAATGTGTATTGTAATTTGTTTAATATTTTTGTGCTTCAAAAACCAAAAAAAAGGTCAGAATGGATTAACCGGATTTACATTGAACCCTATGGGAAAATGTGCCTCGGTTCACGACCAATTCGGATCCGAGCCAGAGTCAGTTCACGAATTAAGTTCGTGAACCGAGGTATCACTGTATTACAACTAACAATAATGTAATTAATAATCACAATTAAGAGACAACATATATACTATGAAAAAGAAGCATTCAAAATAACATGTTTTTTTTACTTGATGACATTCTATTGTAATTTGTGTTTTAGATCAACAATTGGAGACACAAAGCCGTTATGGAGTTGCAGGGAGACATGGGGATGGTGACGGAGACACTGTGTCCCCCTTGCGTCTCTGCTGAGGCAAAGGAGACAAAGAAAAGGACAAGACTTGGGAAAATCTTATCTGAGATCCGAAGACAGATTGAGTTCTGGTTCGGAGACACGAATCTACACAAAGACAAATTCCTGAGACAAGTTGTTGACGCGTCTACGGACGGATGTAAGACAGTCATGGGGAGACACGAGGGCACATGTGGACACACGAGGGCACACGGGGAGGAAGAATGTATGCATTGTCCTTGAAACTGATTGGCCTACACTAGGTGCTCCAGCCTCCTTTATGGCCTTATCTCACCAACCAGTGTTAGACCAGAGAACAACACCAAACGGCGAATAGCACAAAGGCAATGCAAATATCACAGCATTCATAGCTCGCGTTGAGCAGTTTTATCTTATGGGATCATCTTAACACCTCCTGTATTATTGCCGGAAAGGGTTAAGCCTAATCCTTTTTCATCATTTTGATACCGCCAAAATTTTTTTCCCATAGATATGAGGTCACGATGTTACAAACTGTAAAACTATAAACTTTTTTAGTATTTTACCAGGTAAGGCCCACTGAGCTGTACAGCTTTTTTTTAGAAGCGATCTGACCACAAATTATAGCTCAACAAAGTGGCGTATGTGGAAATGTATAGCAACCAAATACTCTAAACATATTTCTAAATGTGGAGGGAAAAACTGTAAGATCCGGAGAAAAATCCTTGTGCCCACGGTGAGAACATGCAAATTCTAAATATACAGATTTCGGGGTCGGGACCGAACCCACAACATCCTTTCTCCCAGGCGACAGTTAACATCTCGCCATGGGAAGGAGGAGACACAGGGAGGAGCTCATCGAATTCCTGCAGGATAAATATTCAGATTCTGACATTGTGGGGAGGGTGGGGGAAGGGGTAGGTGAGAGGAGGAATACATAGGATGGAGCAGGCAGACAAACTGAGTAGATGTGCTGATTTCAGTCATGTTAATTTAATCTTGTCTGTGTCCCTCCCCCATGTCTTCGTGTCCCCATGTCTCAGTCGTCCCGCTGTCCGTGCTCATGTCTTTTAATCGGATGAAGACTCTGTCTACTGATATAAACATCATCCGAAGAGCTGTGTCTACCTCAACACAGCTCGAGGTGAGATATGAGATGTATTCAGTGAGATCTGGGATACGGATACACACTGGGTTTGTGGGTCACTGTGAGTCTGTGGGTCTCGTGGGTCTATATGTAACCGAGTGTGGGGTTCTACATGTGTTGATGATGTAGTGATATATGATGTATGTATTGATATCGGTGATATGTTGATGCAGGTGAGCAGTGATGGCCTCAAAATTCGTCGCTCATCCCCACTGGGTCCCAAACCTGAGGACGAAGATGAGAGAACCGTTTATGTGGTAAGGGGACATGGAGACTTGGGGACATGGGGACATGGAGACGCACATAGACTCACAAGATCGTGATTGTTGTGGTGGTTATGATAATCGTGACAGTGGTGGTGGTCGTGTGTAAGCATTGGCACTAGTTGCACTGGCCACCCACCCCCTCGTGTGCTGTTCCGGTCTTCATAGCTGTTTATTAATAGCGCTTTCCCAAAAAGACTTATGGCTACATGGGGTATCTTTGTCCTTTTTATGGTGGCGGTGGGTTTTTTGTCGTAATGATGGTGGTGGAGTTTATAATGATGGTTGTGGTTGTGCAGGAGCGGTTGCCACACGGGGTAACGCACGAGTGGTTATCACGAGTCTTCTCCTCGTGCGGCCGTGTCCTCTACGTGTCGCTCCCACGGTTCCGATCATCGGGCGACGCGAAGGGTTTCGCCTTCATAGAGTTTTCTACCAGCGAGGAGGCTTGCAGAGCTGTGCAGGTTAGCCCCTTTCTCCTGAAATGCATGCAGAAAATGTATATGTGAGTCTCTGTGATTCTGGGTGAGTCTGTGTATCCCTGTAAGTTAATATTCTAGCTTCGATTAAGGGGATCCCCTAGACTAAACAACATCAATACATTCTTGATTTGAAGCTTTCATGACTGCAGGAATCCATCCTCTTTGGTTCTTTCGGTAAAGTCACGTAGATAGAAAATTAATAGATCGCGATGTTTCGATCGCAACACAAGCGACCGTCTTCAGGTGAGAGAAAAAGGTACTGAAACAAGGTCTTATATAGGCCTGAGATGGGTGCAACCTCAGGGTAAGAGGGCGGGGCTAGAGATGGTCTGCCTGAGGCTGTGGAAGTGGCTATTGTATTGTGAGAGATTAGCATGTCAATGCTAATCTCTCACGTCGTGATCTATTAATTTCCTATCTGCGTGATGTTACCGAAAGAACCAATATCAATACATATATAATTATGTGTATTTACTCCGAGAGTGCATTCAGAAATATTCAGACATGTGAGTCTTTGAGTGAGATTCAAGTAGAAAACTCGAAGGCATTGTCGCTCCTGAAATGCTTTTAAAAATATTCCCTTTTGTAGAACCTCGTTCTGTCTGTGTGGCTGAGTTGAAATTATTTGCTGCAGTGCCTTCAAAAATATAACCACTCATAGAATATATAACTACTCATTGCACATCAGTGAGACTCAGTATCTGTATCTGACAGATGTTACATCATCCAGTCAACTCAGTATCTGCTGCAGGGATATTCCCAAAAACCCGGAAGAGAAGACCAATTACAGGTAACGCACCCACTCAGTATCATTCACACAATCACTCATCTTACCCACTTGCCGATGATAATAACTGATCATCCACACACACACACCCACTTTCCCACCTACCCACACCGAGCTTGTAATGTGTCTCCAAGGATATGGATATTTGTGCAAGCCTGTGGGCCTCTATGTGAGTCTGTTGGCCTCTGTGTGAGTCCATGAGCCTCTCAATTTATAGGTCTGTGATTTTGTGGGTCTGTGAGTCTGTAGGTGTCTGTGGTTCTGTGGGTCTCTTGAGTCTATGAGTCTCTGTGTGAGTCTGTGTATCTGTGTGAATGTTTGTTTGTTGGTCTCTGGGAGTCTGCGGGTCTCTGTGTGAGAGTGTGGGTCTCTGACAGTACAGTGAGTGAAAAAAGTATTTGATCCCCTTTTGATTTTGTGCGTTTGCCCACTGACAAAGAAATGATCAGTCTATAATTTTAATGGTAGGTTTATTTGAACAGTGAGAGACAGAATAACAACAACAAAATCCAGAAAAACGCATGTCAAAAATGTTATGAATTGATTTGTATTTTAATGAGGGAAATAAGTATTTGACCTCTCAATCAGAAAGATTTCTGGCTCCCAGGTGTCTTTTATACAGGGTAACGAGCTGAGATTAGGAGCACACTCTTAAAGGGAGTGCTCCTAATCTCAGCTTGTTACCTGTATAAAAGACACCTGTTCACAGAAGCAATCAATCAGATTCCAAACTCTCCACCATGGCCAAGACCAAAGAGCTCTCCAAGGATGTCAGGGACAAGATTGTAGACCTACACAAGGCTGGAATGGTGAGAAGGTGACAACAGTTGGTGCGATTATTCGCAAATGGAAGAAACACAAAAGAACTGTCAATCTCCCTCGGCCTGCGGCTCCATGCAAGATCTCACCTCGTAGAGTTGCAATGATCATGAGACCGGTGAGGAATCAGCCCAGAACTACACGGGAGGATCTTGTCAATGATTTCAAGGCAGCTGGGACCATAGTCACCAAGAAAACAGTTGGTAACACACTACGCCGTGAAGAACTGAAATCCTGCAGCGCCCGCAAGGTCCCCCTGGTCAAGAAAGCACATACATGCCCGTCTGAAGTTTTCCAATGAACATCTGAATGATTCAGAGGACAACTGGGTGAAAGTGTTGTGGTTAGATGAGACCAAAATGGAGCTCTTTGGCATCAACTCAACTCGCCGTGTTTGGAGGAGGAATGCTGCCTATGACCCCAAGAACACCATCCCCAACGTCAAACATGGAGGTGGAAACATTATGCTTTGGGGGTGTTTTTCTGCTAAGGGGACAGGACAACTTCACCGCATCAAAGGGACGATGGACGGGGCCATGTACCGTCAAATCTTGGGTGAAAACCTCCTTCCCTCAGCCAGGGCATTGAAAATGGGTCGTGGATGGGTATTCCAGCATGACAATGACCCAAAACACACGGCCAAGGAAACAAAGTAGTGGCTCAAGAAGAAGCACATTAAGGTCCTGGAGTGGCCTCGCCAGTCTCCAGACCTTAATCCAATGGAAAATCTATAGAGGGAGCTGAAGGTTCGAGTTGCCAAACGTCAGCCTCAAAACCTTAATGACTTGGAGAAGATCTGCAAAGAGGAGTGGGACACCATTGGAACCTCATTTGCCAGTAAAAATATGATAATTGGTTTTTTACCCTTCTATCTGGCAACAAAACTGACACCTTTTTACAAGGAGTCATGTTTGCATAGACCACAATACCTGCAGTCATAATGCAAACAAAAAACACAACTCTGATAATGTGCACTGTCCTTGAAGTTGATTGGTCCACACTCGAGACAGCTTTCCTTAGAGCCTAGTCTCACATGGGTTGGACCAGATGACGCCAAAAGGCGCACAGCTCAAAGACAATGCACCATCAGAGTATGAGAGCTGACCAATTATATTTTTACTGGCAAATGAGGTTCCAATGGTGTAAATGCTTACCTCGAGCTCTCATACTCTGATGGTGCATTGTATTTGAGGTGTGCGCCTTTTGGCGTCATCTGGTCCAACCCATGTGAGACTAGGCTCTAAGGAAAGTTGTCTCGGGTGTGGACCAATCAACTTCAAGGACAGTGCACATTATCAGAGTTGTGTTTTTTGTTTGCATTATGACTGCAGGTATTGTGGTCTATGCAAACATGACTCCTTGTAAAAAGGTGTCAGTTTTGTTGCCAGATAGAAGGGTAAAAAAACAATTATCAGGAGTGAGACAGTTCTTTTGTGTTTCTTCCATTTGCAAAAAATCGCACCAACTGTTGTCACCTTCTCACCATTCCAGCCTTGTGTAGGTCTACAATCTTGTCCCTGACATCTTTGGAGAGCTCTTTGGTCTTGGCCATGGTGGAGAGTTTGGAATCTGATTGATTTCTTTATACTGGTAACAAGCTGAGATTAGGAGCACTCCCTTTAAGAGTGTGCTCCTAATCTCAGCTCGTTACCTGTATAAAAGACACCTGGGAGCCAGAAATCTTTCTGATTGAGAGGAGGTCAAATACTTAATTCCCTCATTAAAATGCAAATCAATTTATAACATTTTTGACATGCGTTTTTCTGGATTTTGTTGTTGTTATTCTGTCTCTCACTGTTCAAATAAACCTACCATTTAATTTATAGACTGATCATTTCTTTGTCAGTGGGCAAACGTACAAAATCAGCAGGGGATCAAATACTTTTTTCCCTCACTGTATGAGGATCTCTGTGACAGTATGAGGGTCTCTGAGAGAGGGCAGATATGTGTTGAGAGTGTGTGGGTTTGAACAAACCCCTTGTCTTCACAGGAATTGCTTCAGTCTCCGATCTGAAGACACAGAGACACAGAGACGCGAAGACACATGGAGACACGGGGAGAAAAGAGAGACGGGGAGACATAGAAACACAGACACCGGGAGACACAGGGACAGCAAGGACAAAGGCGACAAAGAGGGGACGGGAGACACGGGGACACAGAGACACAGAGATGCAAGTGACAGAGGAGCCAGTAACCAGCCTGTCTTCGGACAAGCTTGGCAAACGGAGACACACTCACGAAGATAAGAGACGCACCAAGAAACAACGTAGACACACAATTGAGACACGGGGGGACAGGGACAAGGATACACGAGGAGACGGAGACATAGATGCACAGGGAAGAGACAGGCAAAAGGAGACACGGCGAGACAGAGAGAAGGAAACACAGGAACATGGAGACGGAGAGACGCAGAGACGCAGACAGAGACACAGAGGCATGCGGAGGCACGGGGACACAGTGGGGACTGTTCTGCCTCACGCGGGGACTCAGGGAGAGAAAGAAGGAGGCCATCGACTGTGTGTAATGAGCAAGTATGTGTGTCCCTCACTCCCACAGTGCATTCAGAAATATTCCCAGTCTAAAAATTATATTCATTTTACAGTACATCACATATCCTCCTTCTCTCCATGTATCCCTCCCCCTTCTCTGTCTCCTCTTCTGTCACCCTCTCCCTCCTCCGTGTCTCCCTCCTTTCTGTGTCCGTCTGTTTCTCGCTCCCTCCCTGCACTTAGAGAGTCGTGGTTGAATTTGAGGAGAGATTTTATCCAGAGACAAAAGGTGGCGATGGGAGCCTTAAAGACAACATTGAGAGATGCGACGACACGAGGTGAGACATGGGGAGACAGAGAATTATATTATTTAGACTGGAGGAATGTGATGAGTTATGAGCTCTTTTTCACAGATGTCCAGTTGAGAATCTAATTGAGACCCTCAGACTCGGAGACGTAAATATATGGAGACATAGAGACAGAAACATACCTGAGGAGACAGGTAGAGAGAGATAGACAGGATGATAGTGATACAGGCAAAACGTAAACATAAGACCCACAAACTCAGAGACACAGCCACAGACTCTCACAGGCATGGGGAGACAGGAGGACATGGCCGATATACAGGGAGGTACGAAGACATGGACACATGGAGTTACAGAGACACGGGGAAGATGCATACAAAAAACAAATAGACTGAGAGATGTATAGAGACAGACATGAAGACAAAGTGAGCAGGAAGACAGACGAAAATTTAAACTTAGACAGAGAGAGACAGACGCACGTGGAGACGCAATGAAACGGAGACACAGAGACCCACACGTGATGGCGTGCAGGTAATGCAGATGATGATAAGGACGCTGCTGTTGCTGCTGCAGACTTATTTATCCAAGAGTTTCAACAGGTCGTAGGACTCTTTTCTTTTTCAGGAGGGTCCTGCATTGGATTTGACATTTTTAGATGTTTTCAGCTAATTAATGATGAGCATTAATAATACTGTACTGTAGGTGGAAACTGGAGCACCCGGAGAAAACATGCATGAGGGGGCAACGCTGTATTCCATTCGGATGAAACAGATGGTGATTAGTCCACTTGCAGTACTGCCTTCTCCTGACAAGCCATGGTACGCTACCTCCTGAACACCCATGGCAAGGGAGTTTCGCATAATTTCAGAATCAGAATCTTTATTTTGACTGGAGGAGGAATCGGATGCGCTATAAAGCCCTTGTTTCACATATATCCAGTAAGGGGCGGGTCAGCAAGTTACAACAATAAGCATTACAAAAAAACAACAGGATCGCAAAATAGAGAAAAGATAACAGCACGAAAAATAAAGTATTAGTACAGATTACATAAGTACGTCAATTTCTGCCGATTTTCAACACTAAATACAAGCTTGGGCATGGCAGCAGAACAAAAACAGTCCCCGACCACGCAGACAACAACGCACAGGGTATGGTACATCCTCGACGGCCACAGGAAGTTTTCACGTAATTTGTGCAATGATCCAACAACCCTCGCTGCCTCCACAGTGGTGGACTAGAAGCACGCGTAACCACCACCAATGCTGGTGCACGATCAAATCCATTTACAATGGCTAGAGAGCCACGCTGTGAGCCATCAAAGAAGTCACCGGAACAAGAAAAGGGGAACCACGCATGGGGCGGAGCGATCTCCCCAACTGTTAACATGGACACATGCGTAGATGTCGCCCTCCTCCAGTTGTCGAGGAAGAAATGCGGGCACCGCTGTTGAGAAAAAGCATTCCCCATCTCAACTTGCTGACCACACGGGTCAACAAGGCACAAAACGCCACGTGGCCAACATCAAACGGCATGATGGAAGGCGTAATGGATAAGAGTTGATGGTTCTTGAATTGAGCCAGGTTATTTTCGTGGGTCGGTGGGTGGGTGAGTGGATGAGTGGCGAGTGAGTGGGTGGGTGGCTGAGTGAGCAAGTCGTGCAGTGGTTAGCGCACTGCGCTACGAACCCGGCGCCCCGAGTTTGATTACTGCTCACGGCCAATACCAGAAATGTTCTGAACCGTTCCTGGGCCTCACCTCGGTCGACTTGACCGCAAATTAGTTCCTGGTACGATGTGTAAACATAGCCTCTGGGGAGGCAAAGTCACGCGGGCGTGGTGCTGGCCGTCCACCACTCGTGTGCAATCCCTTTATAGGTGCTGTCTAACAGCACTTGCCAAAATAGTCTGTAAAGGCTGTACTGGGGATCTTTGGGCAAGTGACTAAGTTGGTGGCTGGGTGAGTTAGTGACGTTAACAAGAACAGAGTGATGAGCAGCGACTAGATCATCAATCAACCCCACTGCTAATGTACTATGCGCATTGGCATGAGGGAGGTCTTCATCCAGCAGTGGATAGATTATGGTAACCCAGACTGTATTTCTCCTTCACAGAAGCCCCAGTGCATTCTGGGAGTGGAGGAACAGGAAATCGTGCCAAGACAGCAGACGCAAAGCACTCTGGGAAAGAGCCACCCCCTTTTGTGAGCGGTGTCATAGTGAGGATTTCCTGTGAGAATGGATTTCCAGGGAGACAGGAGATCAAAGTGAGACATGTAGACAACACGTAGATTTGCACAGAAACACAGACTCACAGAGAACCAAAGACTCGCACAGAGATCCAGAGACTCACAGACTCCCAAGACCCACAGACTCGCACAGACCCAGACTCTGTTGACCCAGAGACTCTGTTGACCCACAGACTCTGTTGACCCACAGACTCTGTTCCACAGACTCACACGGAGACCCACAGACTCACACAGAGACCCATATAATATACCAAGGCAACAATACGGAGACATGGACACACACGGAGACATACGGGGACACACACGGACACAGGAAGACACATTAGGAAACAAATTAACTATAATTCTCCCTGTTTGCCTCTCCCCCCCACCACCCTCCCCTTTCCCCCACCCTCCATTTTCCCCTTCTGCCCATGCCATCCTCTCCCCGTGTAGGGTGCACTGGGAGACACTGTTGTCTACGTAGACGTGTCTCACGGGGACACGGAGGGACACGTGAGATTCGGGAAGCACGAGGACGCAGAGACGGTCGTCACTCGTGGCGACGTGAGACACGGGGACGACACCTGGAGGCTCGGTGTCCTCACAGGTTCCTCGCCCAACTGCATGCTCAACACTCCCCACGAGCGCCGTGCCGTCGGAGCGGAGATGTCCACACACAAGTGCTGGGCCGGGTGCCGGTCCCCATGTAGAACTTTTTTTACAAACACACCCCAAGTTTGTAAATTAAGGCAAAGGTTGCCAACCCTCCAATGTCTCATTGTGGGGGGGGGGGGGGGGTACACAGTTGATAGTCATTGTACAAATCATCATGTCTCTATCCCTCCCCTCTCTTTCCCATGCCTCACTTCTCCCCGTGTCATCCTCCTATTCTCTCATGTCTCCTCCCCATGTCTCCCTCCTCTCCGTGTATCAGGAGATGCTGAACAGAGATATTGGCAGAAGATTCTCGTTGATCGACAGGTGAAGATCAATCGGCCTCGTGAGAAGAAGAGGGGGACTAGCAAAGTGAGTCTGGGTCTCTGCGAGTCTGGGTTTGGGTGCCATGGTGGCTACATTAACTCCCTCACCCGGTATGCAGAAGGTCGTGGATTTTATTCTGACCCTAACAAGTGTATATTTGGAGTTTGCATGACTTTCTCTCCGTGGTCGTGTGGGTTTCTTTCCGGGTCTTCTGGTTTTTCTCTCCACATAAATTCCTGCATGATAAGCCACTTCATTGAGCTATCATTTATGGTCAGGTCGCTTCTGAAAAAGAGCTGTGTAGCTCAGTGGGGCCTTACCTGTAAAAAAAAAAAAAACTTTAAAAAATAGTTTAGTTTTAGTTGTCTTAAGTCTGTGAGTCACTGAGTTTGCATCTCAGTCGCTGTATGTGGTTCTGTGTTAGTGTGGGTTTCTGGGAGTTTGTGGAACTCTGAGGGTGTGAGGGTCTCTTTGAGAGTCTGGATATCTAAGAGTGTGAGGATCTCTATGAGACTGGATATCTGCGATAGTCTGTCGGTCTCTATGGGAATGTGAGGGTCTCTATGTATCTCTGTAGTTGCTGGATCGAGTGGAGAAGCTGATGAAGCAGAAGGCCGATGTCATCACCAAACACCTCCGCTTTGAGTTTGATTGATGACATCAACAACATCTACATCATCAACATCATCATCACATACTTGGCACAGATATCTCCAGATAAATAAGAACATCAGCAACATCGTCACACACAGCATCGTCACCATCATCCACCAAAATCTCAATATGCCCTCTCTGTTTTCATAAAAAGTTATGGTTAGGGCTAGTCAATAGAGGCAATTAAGTTTAATGACGATTAAATAAAGTACTTCCATTACTCAAATTAATCTCAATGGGCCCTCCTGTGTTTGAATATAGGACGTGAGCCGTGAATCTAAGTGAAAACTCGAGACCAGGAGTAATTAATTTGTAAGAGGAACCTCGATCACGAAAAAATGACAAACGCAATAAATAAAAGTTACGGCAATTTAACGATAGAGACAATGAATTGTCAATGGGCTATCACAGAGTTAAATAAGGGACGTCAATCACCAAAGATAGAGGTTCATGGTTAGCATCTGGTAGGCTGCCCTAGTAAATACTGGGGTGAAGATTAACAATAAGATACTACGCCCAATCTGCTTCGCGGTGGACATTGAGCTCCCATGATTTAACTCGAAGAAGAGTAGGCTATTGTGTGCTGGCCTCATGGTCCACATTCACCAGATTTTATGAATTGCACCAATTACTTGGGGAATGCGTGGCAATCATCGCCCCCCCCCCCCCCCCCTATTGTGGATACTCATCAGCACCCTCCTGAAAAGAGTTGAGACGTGGTGAGGCTTTCCTGGATAAACGAGCAGATTCATGTTATCTGTGCTATTAGCATCTGGAGGACATTGCATCGTTTTTTTTTAAATAAAGTTTTCAAGTCTTTTCAAAATTCTCTTACAGTTGTGCTACTTGTGTCGTGCAGCAATGAATGGGACTTTACATTTAGAAGTTTTCTTAAATGAGCAAAACATCACTTTTGCAAGTGTGGCCTGTGGAAGATATCAAATAAGCTATTACTGAGGTCCTTTATAAAGAAAACGGGGTAAATATAAGAGGCACCAGATGAAGTTAGTGGCATGTGCAAGGAAGCTTTCTATTTGCATCTAACAGTGACATGAAAACACGTGGATCTATAAAGACAGTGCAAACATGGGAGCAAGAGTTACTGTAGAAGTACATTTAGGTACAGGTGCAAGTAAACGCTGTGTTCAATATGAAAAGAAAGAGGGAACCAAGCTGTAGATGAGTGGCAAAGGTATTCTAGAAACGTGGAGTAGCAACTCGGAAATAATTTTTACCAATGTTTTTTTGTAAGAATAAGGAAGCACTTCTGAGGCTACGGGAGGGAGTTCGAGGAACTAAGTGGTCGGCCAAAAGCGTTGTGGATATGGCACCGCCACTTAGTGGCAAATGGCGGTTGTGTGTAATAGAGGTATGAGTGGAGCACGGTAGAGTAGCGGTTAGCATTTTGCGCAATAAACCCGGCAATCGGAGTTCGATTCTCACTCGCGGCCACCACCAATACTGGTGATGATAATGATAAGAACTGGCCCTAGGCCTCCCCAGGAGGTCACGAGACAGATCCAGATGCCATCGGTTGGTTTACTGAGATGACTGGTAAATGTACTACCCATTGTGCCAACTTGTGTTTTATCTTCCCGCCGCTCTGCTCGTGAGCATCGCTCCTCCGCCTCTCATTGTTGGAGGGCAACTGCCTGCGACTTCTCAGCAGCGTCCTCACCAGCCTCCTCCACGGAGGTCGATCTTGATATCGCTGGTACCAGTCATCGTCAAGTCCACTCAGCTCCACATCCGTCCATCTCTTGTCCAACCCATCCCTCGCCCATCTCGTCCACTTTATCCGGACCCTGGCGATGCCGCATCAGCCCCCGCGCTTGCTAACAGTGCTTTGGGCGTCCACCAGAGGGTTTCCCCTAACCAAAAGACAAAGATCCCCCTATAGCCTTAACAGACTGTCGGGGCAAGTGCGGTTAGCGAGCACCAATGAAGGCCGGGACGGCACACAAGAGGGTGGGTGGCCAGCTCCATGGCTGGCCGCCTTTTGTCTGCACCAGGTACTCATTTTGAGGCTGAGTCGACCTGGGGAGGCCCAGGAGCAATTCAGATAATTGTCATTGGTGTTGGCCCTGAGCAGGAATCAAACTCAGGTCGCCGGATTCATAGCGCAGCACGCTCACCGTTACACTACCGCTCACCTAACCATGTATAGTAATAGATGGTCTCCAGTTTTAGGATGATGCACATTTATGATGTTTTAAATCCCACCACGGATACATTTACGACGCTGAAATTCTATTTACGACATCTTCCGACGGCTCCAAACATTTAAAGTCTGGCTGATTCCCAATGTGACTTGGAATGGAGATTTTTGTTATTCTTAAGTCTTTTTGTGATTATTGTTTGCAAATTAAACCTTCTTAAATATGGCCGATGATAGGAAAAATACACTGGAAAGTAATGTTTCTACTGTTTCTGTCTGGGAAAATATGGTCTCGATTTACGATGGCTGGGCTTCCAGGAACGCAGTGTTGTAAAAGTGGGGACACTGCACCTCGATACAGTGAGGGAAAAAAGTATTTGATCCCCTGCTGATTTTGTACATTTGCCCACTGACAAAGAAATGATCAGTCTATAATTTTAATGGTAGGTTTATTACAACAGTGAGAGACAGAATAACAACAAAATCCAGAAAAACGCATGTCAAAAATGTTATAAATTGACTTGCAATTTAATGAGGGAAATAAGTATTTGACCCCTTTGCAAAACATGACTTCGTACTTGGTGGCAAAACCCTTGTTGGCAATCACAGAGGTCAGACGTTTCTTGTAGTTGGCCACTAGGTTTGCACACATCTCAGGAGGGATTTTGTCCCACTCCTCTTTGCAGATCTTCTCCAAGTCATTAAGGTTTCGAGGCTGACGTTTGGCAACTCGAACCTTCAGCTCCCTCCACAGATTTTCTATGGGATTAAGGTCTGGAGACTGGCTAGGCCACTCCAGGACCTTCATGTGCTTCTTCTTGAGCCACTCCTTTGTTGCCTTGGCCGTGTGTTTTGGGTTATTGTCATGCTGGAATACCCATCCACGACCCATTTTCAATGCCCTGGCTAAGCCTCGGCAAGGTAAGGTAATTTACCCTTTTTACCGGGAAGACCTGAAACACGGTAGGACAAACACCTCAGCCGTGGCAGATCACTGTTACAATTCAGTGGGCTCACATGACATTGACTTCTCCAAGACAGAGGTTCTCTGCAAGCTATCTGGCTACCATGAGAGATTCGTTCATGAGGTGATCCATATATACAAACACAGAGACAATTTCAACCAAGAAGATGGATTCTGGCTCAGCAATCATTGGACGGATGTAATCAACCATTTCGGATCTTAACTGATTGTGTTCACGTTTATAGTGACTTTCAGACCGCAGTCCACTCACTGGCATTGATTTAATGTTGGGCTTGTCTATCTTGTATTCTCCACAGGGAATGGATTCTTTGCTCCGCTGCAAGTCTCCTACCACCACTCTCCCATTGACATATTTTGTTGCTTCCTCTTAGTATCTTTCACACGACGGTCAATGGTATAATGTATAGCAGATTGTATAAATAGTGTAGTGTTGTAAGGACGGACTTCTAAACGTCTTTTATGGCACACACCGTTTATTATCTTAATAACACAGTCCCTATCACACTAAGGGGTATATGGTCCCCTCACCCATTTCCCTCGGAAGGTACAAGCCTCCGGACCTTGCAGGCTATCTAATCTCCCTGCTCTCCCAGCGTCCTCTGGCTGGACCTAGGGGATCTCTCCCCGACCACTGGTTACTCTGAGCCCGAGCCCTGATAAGGGCTGGAGGGCTTGGTCCAGGGTCCTAGACGTCTTCGGCCGTCTTGGGTCTTCGTGTAGCAGAACTCCTCCAGAGCTCTCAGCGCTCTGGCTTTTATACCTGTTCGTGGCCGGGTTGTCCAATCCCCGGCCACCTTGTGAGAACCTCTGATTGGTCCTTCCCAATCTTGGTTTGGATCCTACCTCACCCCATTTGACCCTGACCGTTTTATTGAGTGGGAAAACCTTGCTTACGATCTGCTGTCACAGTTTGCGAACAACGAGTAGTTAACACCACTACAATAGTATAAAATTGTAATGTTTAATACAATGTATAAGGTAATATACAGTATCGTAATTGTATAGTGAATATACAGCAGTGTGGTATACAGTAGGGTGGGTAGAATAATACTTAGTGTAATATTATAGTTGAAGGTATAGGGTGGTGTATAGTAATCCAGTATATAATTTAATGTTGGGTTTGTCTATGGGAGTATATAGTACAGGGTAGACACGTGTGATGTAAGAGAAAAAAGTTTAGCTGGAAGCATATAAAAAAAAATTTGCGACATAGAATTGTAATGTATTACTTACTGATAGTAGCTCAGCTTATTGGAGACTATATTTAGTATACTGATGATACTATGTAGTTTATACTTTAGTTTTTTTACGTGGTGGTTTAGTAACTGCAGCTACATACTATTAACATTCCTTCCCTTTGTTAATGCTACCCCTATTCCCTCCCTTTTATGCTGCTAATCCTACATAATGCACGGGCATAATATGACTTTAAAACCCCCCGCCCACCTCCTACGCATTTCACAAGTAGTGACTAATCCCATATCTGCATTTCCCATAAATATGCTAAATTCCTCTTGATATGCAAATTCCTTTGTCAAGGTGCTCTTCTCCCACCAACCCAGCTTAAATATACGCTCCAAGCTTGGTGGTGTTTCATTCTTCACCTGAGGACGGCTGCTTGCGTTGTGGCCGAAACGTCGTGAGAATTATTTTATTGTTTTATTTTTATTATTTTCCTTCTACGTGACTTTACCAAAAGAACCAAGAAGATGAATCCCTGCAGTCACGAAAGCTTTAAATCGAAAGTGCTAAATGTCTTTATAATGTGTGTCGCCTCAAAGTGTGCCTCGCGCCACTTTTTATTTGCCCTGTATTTGTGTGCCGTGCCGGCCTTCAAAGGTACTCGCAGCAATCTTAACGTCCTACATCTCACCATCATACTCCCCCGCCCCTTTATTTCTATTTATCAGAACAAGAGCGACTCCCTGTTTGGTTTTGTTCTGTGCTGAGTACAGAACTATCCACCCACGTGGTAACTGTCCATCGGACTTGTAATCCACAGTAATCCAGGTTCTTGGTTTTTGTTTCCATTCTACGTGACTTCTACGTGACTTTACCGAAAGAACCAAGAAGATGAATCCCTGCAGTCACGAAAGCTTTACATCGAAAATGCTAAATGTCTTTATATTGTGTGTCGCCTCAAAGTGTGCCGAGCGCCACTTTTTATTTGCCCTGTATTTGTGTGCCGTGCCGGCCTTCAAAGGTACTCGCAGCAATCTTAACGTCCTACATCTCACCATCATACTCCCACGCCCCTTTATTTCTATTGATCACAACAAGAACGACTCCCTGTTTGGTTTTCTTCTGTGCTGAGTACAGAACTATCCACCCACGTGGTAACTGGAGCCAAATCCAGTCCATCGGACTTGTAATCCACAGTAATCCAGGTTCTTGGTTTTGTTTCCATTCTACGTGACTTTACCGAAAGAACCAATAATATGAATCCCTGCAGTCACGAAAGCTTTCAATCAAAAGTAATCCAGGTGTTACCTGTCTAACTCCAAACAGAGGAATAGCAGCCTGTCCTCCCCAGTGAACGCTCGGAATTCCTCATGTTCAGTAACATTTCCTGCCTGTTGTTTCTGCAAACCATGAGCTGTCAGAGACACCTGTCTTATTGAGGCCTATGGTACATGCTGACTCTGACCGTGTGTTGTTTTGGTAA